GCCTTAAATCAATCTCCGTGCTACTTGTACGGCGTCTTGGAGTTCTTACACGCTGTATTACACCATCGGTTATATTCGCTCTATCGACAGTTGTCCCTTCTGCATAACTATGCCTACGTTTATCTTTTCTTTGCACTGTATTTGTTTTAGCCTCTGGCACTGTACTTGCTTTTTCGCTCAGAGCTCGCCGATGAACTTGCACCCGGTGTTTTGCGCCTGTATCAACATGCTCCCTGTCAGGCTCGAAACCTTCGTTTTCCAAGCCTAAACGTCGTTGATAATTCTTTTTCTTGTTGGCTCGTTTCTTCGAAGATCCGTTGTCTAGTTCGTGGCTGTCTGAATGATAGCCAGATTCTAACGTATTTGTAGTTATGTCAGAATATTGAAGAAGATTCTCAGTCGAGGCCATGTTTCATCTTACAACTTGTTTGGTAAGCTTGTTTTTTGGAAGCCCGATTATACATATACGTCTTATTAGCAAAGAAAATTTCCTCAGACCTCCCAGTATAACAAGATGGGGTGCTTTCAAAAAATTCTATTTGCTTTAAGGTATTAAGTTATTTATTATTTAATAAAATACAACTTCGGCTTTCTCTCTTCTATTTTTTTTTTGCGGTTTAACTTTTTAACAGGTACCTGTCATTCAAATGTTAATGAAAGATCCCCATTCAATACCTGCTGCTAAGCGAGTACGCGCATACATGTATATATCAATGCTTATTCACTTGCTTATTCAGTTATTCACTTCAATTCTTGGCTTTATAAAAACGTGCATAGGCGTGCGTATAATATTCGCATCTCCCTTTTTTTAAAAAACGTAATATTTAAATGAGCTATGTATTGTCTTATCATGGACCACCAAGTCCGTTCCTAGTCCGAGGGGGACAATCCAGGGACTTTCCCGGGGTACCCATGGGCCAGGAACTCCTGATTTGTCCAAAGAAGCCAATCTTGTCGACATAGGAACGCCAACTCCCACATCAAAATTTTAGATCTGCGCCTATCCCGGGCATATATGTTTTTAGCTGCACGATAAACATTCAAAAATCAAACTCAACTGTCAAAAACTGTATGTTTATTTTTCAATCTAAGCGTGTCGTTTAACGACTACCTTCTAATGTAAAAGCGTCATTCATTGACTTTTATAGATGTATTCTTTTCACGATATTTTTTTTATTGTTCTTTTCATGTCTGTACTAGCAACAGGTTCAGTCAGTACTAATTTGAGCAGTCAAGTTGACGGAAAGAAAATTATCTCATTAGGGCCATTTATACGAGGAAAAATAAGACGCATCTTACATAAGACGCGAACTTTCCTTATGAACGGCACATTTCGTCTAAAATAAGACGCGGCTTAGCTAAGACGCGCCTTATTAGATAAGACATGCTCGTATAAATGGTACAGTTCGCGTCTTAATTAAGACGCGTCTTATGTAAGACGCGTCTTATTTTTCCTCGTATAAATGGCCCTATTGTGTCCGGCGCCCGTCCGGCGCCACAGTCAATCACCTATGAAGTGAACACGAGTGAGGAATTTGAAATAAAACCATCGTACGTACGTGTTTTTTCCCTCTGAATTGTTGTATAATTATTAAGAACATCACATTTTATCACTAGAACATTTTATTCAGCTTAAACATCATCAAGGCGTAGAATTAAATATCATATAAATCCATTGTTCTTTTCACGATTAATGTAGGCAGTATACGGCTCTTACTTCGGCCCCAGGTAAGTCCATTAAGAAGTAAAGAATAGTTATATAGCAGTAATGAATGTTCACTTCATTTTAATTCTTTCTTCCACGGCTTCATTTCATTCTTTCTGTCCAATAGCTTCCTCTCTATTCTCCAACTTATAGCCTGTATACAGTTTGCTTTGGTTGAGGGGAGGGGGGAGGGGGCGGCTGTACGCAACCACGTCCCCAGGGCTTTCCCCTAAGAAAATAGGAAGAAAGAAAAGCCCTGGGCGCTCCCGGTTGCATAAAACCTGCACTTAAGTAGGTCACTTACGAATACGTTATGGGTACCCTTACGGGTGTTATGTGGAACGCACTTAGCACTCTCGTAAGTTTCTGTTTTTACGTGGTAACTTACGGGCTCACTTAAGAACACAAGTAAGTTGATATTGTACATTATTAATGATTCACTCTATTTTTTTAATCTAACCATCGGGGATCGTAAAGAAAGTGTCTAGACGTTTCGAGCACTTTAAGCCTCTCATTGAAACAAAACTTGCATGCAATTGTTATTTTACTTCAATACTGAAGATGATAGTCGTTCTTCTTTTTTCTCAACATCGACTTTAACGTGTACATCAGAGGTTAGCAAAGCGCTTTAGAACGAATTACGTAAAGGATTTTTTTTTTCACTTCTCAGTAAAATATCGCCTTAACTAGTACAAATAGTAAGGATACGGGACCTTCATAGTCCCCGTAAATTTACGTGCTATTTTTCCCTTTAAAAAAGTTTTATGCAACTCCCGCAATTTCTGTTGAATAAACGACACTTAAGTAAACACTTACGAAAATCGTAAGTGCAACCACTTAAGTGAAATCAGTAAGTGGGTCACTTTGGTGAGTTAATGCAAATCACTTAAGTTACAAGTACACGCGCGTATACCCGTAGATGTTACGGGCGTTTTATGCAACCGGGCCCTGGAGACGTATCCCTCGCAGCCGTTTTTTGGATGCCATCCAAAAAACGGCTGCGAGGGAAACTACTGGAGACGAGGTTGGGCTGTGCACAGGCTACCCATTTACGTCACATACTGAGAGAGGACTGAACAATTTCGGCTTGACCTGTGAATTACCTGACGGGAGTATGGATTGTGAAAATAGAGAGTTCGCTTCAGGAAATGGCGATTTGAGAAGCTATATTAGTTGGACACCTGATTCCACGGTCTTCTTTCTCTTCAGCTGTGTCTTTTTTATGTATTTGAGGAGGGAGGGATCAAAACCGCAAAAGGTTTAATCAGGAAAACACGTGTATTTTTGTACATTTCGAGGCTCTCACTACATGACCGCGACATTGCCCCTGTGACTTTTCAGGGACAGACAACAGACAACAACAAACAGACAACAATTTATTCTTTCTTTCTTTTTCTGAATCAAGGTCGATACGGCCACTAAGAAGTCAATTTGATAGACTACATGGCCTGAATTTGACAAGACTGCCTAAAAGTCCGACCGTATTTTTGCGTATTCATGTACGGGAGAACATTCAAACAAAAGGTCTGGAGCGAGGCTACGGTTACGCTACACTAAACCGATTTTAAGAAAAAAAAAAACCCGACTGTTTTTCAGTCTAAAATTTGCCAAATTGTAAGTTTGTTGAAATCATCGCCACAAAGAACGCGATTTAATACAATTCATAAGTGAAGATTCAACTGCCTTCACCGCCTTTGTCGCCAAGTTCCCCGGGCTAGTGTTGACAGATATACAGAGATCATCATATACCAAATAGGCAGAAAGACATACCGTTTTTTTTAAATTATTTTTCTTTAACGTGTGTTGTGAAAATTACTAGAAAGCGGGCGCAAAAAAAAAAAACAGCCTTTTTGACAAACCTGGCACAAAATGCATACCTTCCGTACCCACTCGTGACCGCGGCCATTTTGGCCAATGCCATAGTAACAGAACCCATAAATATTGAAACAGCACCAAATTAGCCTATCGTTTGACGCCCTGTAAAAATTCAGGTAAATCAGCACTGTTAAAGTTTGTGAAAAGTAGTTTGACTTGTGCACGTGCACGTGTTTATTGGTAGCTGAAAGAGAGAATTTGACCAGTTGGCCTGGTACGTGAATGCGCTGTCAAGAATAGATATTTTTTGCCTTTATTATTCCCGTTTGGAAACAGAAAGGTTCGAAACCTGGACGATGGTCAATTTTTCGGATTATTTTGATACAAAACTAGAGATTTTCTGTTCGTGTCAGGGAGCTCTTTCGAATTACAGTCAATGGCCATCATCTGGGAGAAACTGAAAATTGAGAAAAACTTGTCACTAAGGTGACACAATTCTACCGACAGCAAATTAACTTGAATGGAAGCTTACCTAAGCATTCCCTTTTAAACCCAAAAAGCCATAAAACTTTCCACCCATTGTATCAGACAAGCACTTTTTGAACGAAAAACGGTTTCAGATCGAAGATTTATAAATTAAAATTATAAGAGTTACAAATACATACCATATTTATGATGGTTCTCATCAACAATTTCTCTCCTGTAATAGTTATAAATTGGTCTTTTAAGTCTAACAATTTAGTCTGATTACAGGTGATAATTAGAAAGTTTTAATGGCAGCAGGTGCGTTTTGTTTACATGAAAGTTGTCCAGTTACTGTCCAGGATGCCAAGTTTCTGAAACGCTTTTACCGGGTCACACAAAACCCGTTTCTGAGCTTGTAAAACTAATTTAAGGTTTATAATAAACGACTATTCAATTTACAGGATAGGAAAAAACTTTTTACACACAAACTTTCGATTCCATCGCGGAATCTTTATCAATTCAAGTGATGGAGCTGGTGACAAAACGTCTCAATAGATCGCGGGGAGCTCGTAACTAGCGTCTCTCTAGTTGGAGGTTGAATTTATAACAACTCGTAAGGAACCTAAGTACAATATTCAAAGAAGTTATTCCGTGATGCAAGAACCGGCCTTTAACTTCTCGCGGCACTTGAAATCCGTTTCTGCGGCTACAATAGTTTTGCCGATGATTTTGTTGTTTAGTTTACAGTCGTTATGGTGTTGATCGTCAGCACTGACAAATTATGTAAACGCGCAAATACATTAACACTTTCGTGTACTTTTTTCAGATGACTGCACATAATTGGTCATTCAACTAAGTATCTGAAATGTCGAATAAAACTGAAGTGTGAGGCATTTAAGAATTAACGTCAAAAATCTGGTATCACTAATGAGATTGTTTGCCACGCTCTACCCGCGGTAAGGTCAACCAAGTCTTTGGAAAAGATAGTTAGAAGTTGTTGAATTACTCGAAAATCATGTATGGAGAAAGTCACGTTAGTGCCGATGAAGTACAAGAGTTTGAGGAAAGCACCGTTGCGCTCCAACTTCCAACATTAACCCAACAAAAGTCTACGAGTGGAACACGTAAGAATGGGTTACTAGAAGGTTGTTTTGTAACTTCAAATCAATTTGAAGCCCAGAGTTATGAAGAAAGTCTTCCAGAAATTGGTTCTGTTGGTCCTCAACGACGAGAAAAGATGGTGAGATTTGAAAACGACAAGACATTAGACGCGGACAACGAAAAAGCCTGCATTCTAAGGCTACCAGACATCCAGAAACCGTATGGCCGCGAGTCTTTGGAAGAAAAACGTATTGAGGAGAATGGGAAAATTTACAGTAATAATTCTGAGCTTGATAAAGGCCTTGAAGGTATAAACCACAATGGTGTCGGTCACAGGGAGGAAACTTGCCCTCTGTTGTTGAAAAACTACCAATACCAACGTGAGATGAGGTATACAAGGTGCACTCAAAAAATCTCGAGGGCAAAATATACTTATTTTCCGCGATTTCCTTCTCCAAAGCCCTTGAACAAGAGAGAAAAACTCAAGAAGGAGATGGAGGAGAGAAAACCCAAGAAGCGCGACGAACCACTTCATCCAGGAAGTCTAAGGACGAAGGAAGAATACTTAAAGATATTTCTTTCGCTAAAAACTGCCGAGAGAAATTTTGTGAAGAAGCATAAACTCTCCTGCCGCACTGGCTCCGATTCGCCATTTTTTTCTTGATGTTAATCATTTTTTTCTCTTTTGAACTTCATTTGTCTTTTATATTGGGGTTTTAGATTGAGTTACTTGCATAAAACTTATTTACTTAAAACAAACATTTTAATTTGTGTCTGTAATACTTATTTTGACGCATTTCTCTCCACTAAAATTCAAGTTCTCAGCGACTTCAACACTAAAATCTGGCACTGGAAATGACATGAAAAAAAAAACGCCATTCAGACCTTTTTTTGGTTAAATTATTCCCTGGCCCTGGTTTCCGTTCCCTCTCTTCAACGCCCCCGCCCCCCTCACCACCGTCCCCTCCCCAAATTGAACACGATATTGCCAAGCAACATGTATGCACAATCTCATTGGTTAGCAGGGTCGTCATTTTATTACGGAGTTTGGAATTACGGGTGATATCCTTTCTTCGTAAACCCCCTGACCTGACTATGACTTTCATTCCATTCTCACAACCAAAGCTTGTCATATGTAACAATCTCCTCATCAACTTGACAGTTACTTTCTGTTCCTTTTTATGAGAACTTCCTCTAGCTTTTTTTACCTATATTAGTTACTGCTGTGACAATGGAGATTACGCGATGCAATATTTTAGAAATCATGATTCACAAAACACCTGTATAACCTTGCATATTAGAGTTAGACGCTGGGCTTAAAATGCGAATGACGATTTTTAAATTCTCTCATTTTTCTTTGGATCATCTTTTCCTCCCTTAACAATCTCTCTTGTTCTCCGTCTTCTATCCAAAAAAGTTCATTGGGCGCTGGAAGGTCCACTACAGACTTAGTGATACATGGAAAGTACGAAAATCCTGGACGAGAAGTCCGTACGAAATCATTCCTGAATTCAGATGATAAAAGTTTCGGCTTTTTAACGTCAAAAGCCATTCGTTGTTCTCTAATTTGACGTATTTTTGCCTCTTCTCTTAATTGCTGGTCAATTTTGAAGATTTCGTCTGTTAATTTGTTTAAAACACCGCGTGGTATTTCGTAGCGATCTCTTAAACCCAATGCGTTGCTCCATCGCTCTTCGGACATTCTTCTTTCCGAAGTTGGCGTCAACACAAGTGAAGGCAGTCGCAACTGTTTCCTGAGTTGGTCTTTATTCAGATCCGAAACATTTTCGCCAGTTTTCTTCCTCTTCGACATGTCTTCGGTTTTTAAGGACGATGTTTTCGACGAAGAAGAATTCACAGCGAACGATTTCGCGGTTTTTTTTGCCACTCGGATGGTCTTCGCGACTTCAGGAAAGCTTACAAACATACGATCGCCGTTCACCTTTCTTTGACGCAAACTCTTCTTTTTAGCGCCCATTTTTGTGCTTTGTTTATCATCTGGTGCTTTGTTATCCGTTAAAGAAGGCAAGAATGTTTGATCCGGCATGCTTTCAACAAATTAATTAATTCAACAAAATCCTACTCCAGAACAGGATAAACATCCGTAAAAATGAATGAATGGCAGCTATGTAAACTTTCTGTCTGAAAAATAAAGAAATGTCGTATTTAGCGGCAAATCTCTGGACTCTGAAACTTTTTTTTTATGGAAAATCTAACTTCCAAGCCTACCCAACCAACTGTTTTAGTTACACACGGCATTTTGCATGTTGAAAAACAACATGAGGGCCATTAACTAAAATTCATTTGACGCTGGCGGGAAAATAAAAATTTCTAATTACTTATACTCACAATAGGGTTTGACTGAGAGGTCATTACCTCCTGTCGAGGCATCTGGGAAAAAGGAATATATAAAAGTTGCAAACGTCGTTGAAAGTAGCCTGAGAAAGCAGCTGAAGTTTCGGGGCGGCGGCTGTTATACTTCTGGTGTAATTCACCGAGGTAGACTGAATGAATCGGTAGTGGCGCCTCTTAAGTACGGCTGCTTTCTCAGGTTACCTTGAAAGCTTTGTTAGGTCTTTCACTTAAAATATCAAAATTTCCCTTATCCTATTCAGGTTTCTCCTACGCTCTATTTAGCTTACAAATTTAATTTGGGTAAAAAAAAAAGATAAACAGAGCTTGAAAATTCTGTACCACAATCTTACTAACCTACTGTTAGCAGTATGTTTGAAACGTTTATTCAGCAGAAATGTCTCAAATGTTTGTCATGTTTAGTACCTGCTCCCAAAGATGAACGATACTAGCTGCAAAATGTTTCTTCCTTCTTTCTCCCTAACAAATCACTTCCAATTAAATTTTCTGCTCGATTAAAACTTTGTGGCACTTAACTTATGAACGAAACCACTTTAGCAACGCTCGAATTATGTTTTTGACCTTCAAAGGTAAAACTTCCTTTCTCATGTCAACGAATTTGAAATGAGTTTATCATTTCCAAATTTGCATTTCGTGGTTGTAGCGCAACAAAAAACGTTTGCATAATAAAACATCGTTTTGGGCTGATGTATTGTAATGAAGGACTTTGAGATGTTGTGGATCTGTTACTTAGATTTTTTGTTCAAGATCAGAGGGGAAGAAAAGATTTTCGAAAGGCACAGTTTATTAGCTTATCGAATCAGATTTATATTCCGTTACGAGTGGCTTTAGTTTGCAGTAACATGGCATCCGTTCCAAAGCTAGATTCAAAATACACATTGGGAAAAAATACTTCAAACAAACAGTTTTTTGTATCAGTTTTTTTTATGATCTCTTATTTGTTGCCATGGTGTAAAAAGTTACCATCATTCACGCCTCTGATCCGGTCTCACGTATTAGAATTATCGCAAACATAAATATCGAAACTTACCGTATTAGATCAAGGGTAATTTTCCCTTAATTTGCTGTCCTTACCTAGTGTATCTAAAACATTATCGTAATAACATAAAACACTGACTGTGGCCGGTTATTTTCATTTAATCTCAATACCGTAAGGTTTGTTAGCGATCCCATCCCAAAATGCGACCTTCGCAATTGTACCACACATAGTAAAAGAAAACAGTTTGAGAGGAGCTTATCATAAAAGTGACAGTCAGGGCTGTCACATGAACTGTACTGTAAAATGCTGCATATTTTTGCTGTCGGAAGCTTCATTTCAAACTGTATTGTTTTCATCAACATCCAATTATGTTTGATACATGAGATCTGTGTTTACTTGTTATACTACGAGGGAGGCGGTGAATTTCATTTTATAACTTTTTATAAAGTTACCATCTACTATTGCGATAATTTGTTACATTAAATATCATCATATTACCAACATCATCACAACATCATGAAAAATTACATAGCTCATTCTATAAACATCCGTTTTATAGCTCTTTTCTGCTTTAGAGTAGTTTAAGACAAGAACTACTATAACCTTTGTTCCTCGTTCTCTGCTAGATCAAATAAAGTATTTCTTTTGAAAAAGTCTTACCTTTAGTCCGTTACCAGAAACATTAAAGGGTGGACGTTTGGTTAAATTCGTCTCTTGAACGGTGTTTGCGGTATGTAGTTCAGAACAATCACAACGCCATGATTCTGCCGAGGCGCCAATACTGTTTAATCATTTTGTTGCCTTAAGTACGTTTTTACACACCTGTCTTCTCGGAAACACCTTTGTTATTTAAAACTATGATAGGTTGCTTAATGCAAAAAAATAGTCTTCCTAAGTGATAATCGACTCTATATCGAATACTTTAAGTTCGAAATATCTGGCAAAGGCATAAAATATTCCGTTACTTGCGTGCCAAAGAAGGGGAACCTAATAATTATTTTATTTATTTATTTTTATTTCTATAATCCGTCAATATTCTTGATTCTCGAAGCCTCGTGCTGTTACAGTTGCTTGTAAATCCGTTCACACAACTCAAGCACGAAAGCATTCTTAGGCGACTGCTAAAAACGATGTTAACTTTATACTTATGCACAGTCTGTCTTAATAAATTCAAGAAACTTACTTAAAAATTGGGTACAGTGTTTCTGCCAGCTTGTCAGTGTTTTTTCGTGGTTAGATCTATCTTTATACTTATAACTGTTTCGGACATGTGTCGGATATGTTCGAGATTTTGAAGTTTTTTCCTTATGTTATAAATACCTACGAAGAAGATATATAGTGAAATATCACTAAAAGTGTAAATACATGGGACCTATCCAATTGCTGATATTGTTGAACAGTAGAGCAAAGGAAAACTCATAGATTGAAGTTCCGCGTATTAAAAGAAATTGGGTTTCCCTACAGTTCTAAAATCGCTTTGCAGGGACCACTTTTATGTCATGCTAACTGGAAGAATATTTAATGCACGCTCCCGTTAGGGCTGACTTTTTAATACAATAGACCCGCATGAATTTTTGGGAGAAAATGAAATGATATAGAGGATAGTACATGCCCGCGCGTGGCTACAAATTTTATCTTCGAGTGTTCAACTCGATATCTCACTCGCGTTCTCTGCGCTCACTCGTGGGATATCGAATTGAACACTCTAGGATAAAATTCGTATCCACGCGCCGGCATGTAATATTCTGTTTATTATATAGACACTGATGGCGAGATGCTGTGACGGCTCTTTTCCTGTTGGATGAGACTGAAGTACCCATGATAACCGAGATATCTTCCCATGTGAAGGATACAAATTGTATCTTCACTGGATAACAAATTTTCGTCACTGGAAAAATCCTGGTATTTCATCGGTGTCTATAAAATAAAATTCAATTTTATTCAGCCTAAAAGAATTTTCGCACACGGGAACTTACCCTTAAGGGAAACAGATTTTGGACAACTGGAAAATGTGAATTGACTGCGCATTTTTTTTTCGATCTATTTTTTTCAACTGACCTGGTGTAAAAAAGTAAACAAGGGGTTCACTTTTCACTTTTTATTTATTTCATTCAATTATTAGATATATCATTAGATATAATGTATTCATATATTTTTTTGTTAGCTTTTGTAGTTAAAGTTTTATTGCAATGCACATTTTAACATGTATTTATATGTTAATTTGCGCAATATCAAGTAATCCAGATTGAGACGGAAAACTACTTATTCGGTGAAAAAAATTGTTTAAAAAGGAAAAAGACTATGCAAAGAAT